ACATATGTAGAACGGTTGCAGGAACTGGGTTTTGGCCAGTCTAGAGAAAAGAAGGACTAGGGGGTGACATGACAGCAGTATTCCAATATTTGAGGGGCTGCCACAAAGAAGAGGAAGTCAAACTATTCTCCAAAGCACCAGAGGGCTGGACAAGAAACAATGGTTGGAAACTGATCAAGGAGAGAAGCAACTTGGAATTAAGGAGAAACTTCCTAACAGGGAGGACAATCAACCAGCGGAACAGCTTGCCTTCAGAAGTTGTGGGTGCTTCATCACTGGAGGTTTTTAAGAAGAGACTGGACAGCCACTTATCTGAAATGGGATAGGGCAGTGTTTCTCAACCTTGACAATTTTAAGGCATGTGGACTTCAAGTCCCAGAATTCCACAGCCAGCATTGCTGGCTGTGGAATTCTGGGAGTTGAAGTCCACATGCCTTAAAATTGTCAAGGTTGAGAAACACTGGGATAGGGTCTCCTGCTTGAACAGGGGGTTGGACTAGAAGACCTTCAAGGTCCCTTCCAGCTCTATTCTGATTGATTGATATTGGCGGTTTTTAGTCTGAAATGGCATAGGTCAGGCGGGTCTTCAAACCTGACCCTTTTATGACTTGTGGACTTCAACTCCCAGAATTCCTCAGCCAGCGCGGCTGATAACTTTTATTGTCATTTTCCTACTGTGGGCACAACGGCACACATCAAAAAAATGAAATTGAGTTGCTCGCTGGCTGAGGAATTCTGGGAGTTGAAGTCCACAAGTCATAAAAGGGCCAAGTTTGGAAGACCCCTGGTCTAGGGTCTCCCGCTTGAGCAGGGGGCTGGACTAGAAGACCTCCAAGGTCCCTTCCAGCTCTATTCTGATTTAGTTCGGATTGACGTCAAATCCCAGCCCCCCCCCAAGCCCTTAAAGAGTTAACCGCCTCCCTCCTCTCCGCCCCCGCCGAGCCCCTTTCCCGTCCTCCGCCCCCGCCCGCCCGCCGAGGGGTGGGGAAAGCAGCCGACGGGCAGCCGCGCCATCGCTCGCAGCTCGCCGAGTTTGCAGCGGTGGCCCCGGCAACAGGCAAGCCGGCCCCGGTCCCAGCTCGCTCCTCTCCGGAGGAGGCTCCGGAGGGAGGGAAAGATGCTCCGTCCAGCCGGGAAGCCCCGCATCTTTTTCGCTCCCGGAGCCCCGCAATAGAGCCGCCCCCGCCGCGATGGCCGTGCAAGCGGCTCCGCTCCCGCCTCCCCACCACCATCCCTTCGTCCCCTTCGGCTTCCCGCCGGCCGATTTCGGCGCGCTGGAGAAGAGTTACGGCGGCTGCGAGGGAGGAGGAGGAGGCGTCGGGGGCGGCGGCGGAGCGCTGCTGCTGCTGGAAGGCGTCGGCGGGGCCCACGGCGGAGGCGTCGTCGGCGGCGTCGCTTCTTGCACCGACCCGGGCGACTTCCGCGAGGCGACCCGCGAGCTGCTCAGCTTCATCGACTCGGCCTCCAGCAACATCAAGCTGGCCCTGGACAAGCCGGGCAAGTCCAAACGGAAAGTCAACCATCGCAAGTATCTGCAGAAGCAGATCAAACGCTGCACCGGCCTCATCGGCGGGGCGTCCGCCAACCCGGAGGCCGCCGCCGCCGTCGCTTCTCTCGCCGCGGCAGCTCCCGGTTCGGTTCCCGGGTCGGCCAACAAGGCAGCTTCGACGTTGACGGCGCCATCTAGCGGCGGCGCGGCGGCATCGTCGTCGTCGTCCTGCAGGCCTCCGGCCAAGCGCGAGAGCCACGCGCTGCAGAGCAAAAGTTTAGCGGCGCTTTTCGACGCCTTGCGCTCGCCGGGTTTGGAGCGAAAGGGATCCCCGACGGCCGTGGCCAGCGCGGCTGCTGCTGCTGCTGCTGCTGCGGCGACGGCTGCGGCTGCTCCCGCCGCCGGGCTGGGGAGCGACGTGGGCGGCAAGGAGGCCGGGTCTAGTCCGGTGGCGGTGGCGGCGGCGGCGGCGGGGGGCGCCTGCAAGAAGGTGCCTCTGCGGAACCGCAACCTGCCCGTCTCCTTCTTCACCGAGCCGGCCCCGCCGAGCCGGCCGCCCAATCCGGCCGGTTTGGAAGAAGCCGTCCCGTCGGTGGCCGAGGAGCTCTTCGATCTGCTGGCCGCCGCTCCCGATTACCGCGGCTTGCTGCAGGAGGCTGCGGAGCCGCCGGCCGTCTTTCCGGGCCCCGCTTTGCAAGTGGCGGCGGAGCTGCCTCTGGAGCCGCCGCTGTACGAGCCGCTGCCGTCGATGGCGCCCCTGCTGTACGCCGAGCCCCCCTTGCGCCCCCTGCCGGCCCTCTACGCCGCCGTCGCCGCTTCGGATCCCGCGGCGCCCTTCTTTGCGGATTGCCCGCTGCCCCCTCCCCCGGCCGTGCCCTACGATTACGGCTACAATCGGGGGGTGCCTTACCCCAGCCTTTAGCCCTTCGTGGACGGAAGGGACGAGGAAGCGGGGGTGGGGTGGGCTAGGGCGAATGGCGGGACCCCCGGTATCGGGGGCCAAGCGGGTGAGGTGTGGTCTCGGAGGGCGAGGGACCCCTGGAAGTGGCCACCGACTCCTTGTAGGACTACTTCGGAAAGACTTGGGCAGTCTTGCCCTGCCTGATGTCCTCTGAGGTGTGCTGGACTACATCTCCCATCCTCCTCCAAGCCTCACCTCCAATTATGCAGACTTGGGTTGAACTTCCCAGCGGTCCTGAAAGGTTTTGACATCAAAAGAAAGTCGGATGGGGACGGTTGAAGTAGGAGTACTTCTGGAAAACTTGGCCAGTCTTGACCTGCCTGATGTAGTTCTGATGTGCTGGACTACATCTCCCATCCTCCTCTTCCTCCAAGCCTCACCTCCAATTATGCAGACTTGGGTTGAACTTCCGAGCGGTCCTGAAAGGTTTTGACATCAAAAGAAAGTTGGATGGGGACGGTTGAAGTAGGAGTACTTCTGGAAAATTTGGCCAGTCTTGACCTGCCTGATGTAGTTCTGATGTGCTGGACTACATCTCCCATCCTCCTCTTCCTCCAAGCCTCANTAGGAGTACTTCTGGAAAACATGGGCAGTCTTGACCTGCCTGATGTCCTCTGGGGTGTGCTGGACTACATCTCCCATCCTCCTCCAAGCCTCACCTCCAATTATGCAGACTTGGGTTGAACTTCCGAGCGGTCCTGAAAGGTTTTGACATCAAAAGAAAGTTGGATGGGGACGGTTGAAGTAGGAGTACTTCTGGAAAACTTGGGCAGTCTTGACCTGCCTGATGTAGTTCTGATGTGTTGGACTACATCTCCCATCCTCCTCTTCCTCCAAGCCTCACCTCCAATTATGCAGACTTGGGTTGAACTTCCCAGCGGTCCTGAAAGGTTTTGACATCAAAAGAAAGTTGGATGGGGATGGTTGAAGTAGGAGTACTTCTGGAAAACTTGGGCAGTCTTGACCTGCCTGATGTCCTCTGGGGTGTGCTGGACTACATCTCCCATCCTCCTCCAAGCCTCACCTCCAATTATGCAGACTTGGGTTAAACTTCCCAGCGGTCCTGAAAGGTTTTGACATCAAAAGAAAGTTGGATGGGGACGGTTGAAGTAGGAGTACTTCTGGAAAACTTGGGCAGTCTTGACCTGCCTGGTGTAGTTCTGATGTGCTGGACTACATCTCCCATCCTCCTCCTCCTCCTCCAAGCCTCACCTCCAATTATGCAGACTTGGGTTGAACTTTGGAGCGCTCCTGAAAGGCTTTGACATCAAAGGAAAGTTGGATGGGGACTGTTGAAGACTGACTTGTCAAGAGAACCATTAGTCTCTTAACGGAAGAGGCCCCTCCTTCCCAGGAATTTGGGGGAGCCCCCAGGACAGTTAGCTTACGTAAAGTCTTAAACCGAGATCACTCTATAATTGTAACTTTTTCATGCCCTTATGGGCCAGTTTTGTCCAAACTGAATAAGCTCTTGTGATTTGGGGGGAGAAATTCATGTTTGACAGGGGACTTGGGATTTGCCTGCCTAGAACGAAATCATAAAGATCCCTGGTGATTAGAAGGCAGTATTGCAGGCTAACTCTGCCCACTGCCAGGAGTTCGATCCTGACGGGGCTCAAGGTGGACTCAGCCTTCCATCCTTCCGAGGTCGGTAAAATGGGGGACCCAGATTGTTGGGGGGCAAGTATGCTGACTCCTTAAACCGCTTAGAGAGGGCTGTAAAGCACCATGAAGTGGTATATAAGTATATTGCTATTTCTTGATCCGTCTTCTCTGTTTGCACATCTGAATCAAGTTCAGGGTGCAGACGGCCAACTATTCTCTGAAGTGTGAATCTGAAGGGGCCTCAT